AATTACGTAAGACAAAGTCAATATTTTTTAATGATCGTTAAGTGTGATGTTCCGAATTGCTGTAAACCTTGGCGAAGTTGCTGGAAAAAATATTTTCCTCAACGTTTTTTACCAGGTCCAGTTGTAATGTCTCATGCTGCTGAAGGAATTTTTATTCCAGAGCCAAAGGTAGCACGATATATTCCTAAACCTTACTTTTCTTCTCTAGCGCAGCGCTTGGGATATATAGGTTCAAAAATTTGGAAGCTTCCTTTGATTTGTACTGCCAATTAATTTCACAACAAAAAATTGATCAAAGAACTTGCAAATCTTGCAAAATTTATCACGCTTCTAATGCAAGTGTTAAACGTCACAAATGCGTGTTTAGAAACATAATCAACACGACCTCTGAGGAAAATAAAAAAGACGATGAAAACAATGATACTCATTTAACATTAAATGAAAGTAATTCTGATTAAATTTATGTCATCGAAAACATATTTGATTGGGTGAAATCACCCTTTGATTTAGATCACCAACAATTTAAATTAATTGATTAATGAAGACTATATTAATAATTTTGTTTATAAAATATTAAAACGATGTTTTGAAACCTATAAAGATAACAGTTTTTGTTTTAAATTGTGATTACTTAAAAATTTTTTTACCACCCTGCCCTTAACCACAACCTAATCTTTAAAGGTACCAAAAAAACATTCTCGCCATTTTGTTGATTTTAAGGGTTTCCTGTTTGCCAGCAAAAGCGCTTAAAGATCAACTACACAAATCTTTCAACAAGACTTTTTTGTTTTATTTTTTGTTAATGATCTTTTAAACGATTGAAAAGTAATACACTTCACTGTCACCTTGATGTTCAGAGTTAAAAAATTTTAAACACTAAATTGATTGCTCGCATTTTCTTAGCTGAAATACTTTTCAAAAATTTATAATTTCTAGTTTTCTCAAGCTTCTTAGTTTATTATATTTATCAAAAAAAATACCCTATATAAGATGATGCAATTTTGTTACGTGACATTTTTTATAATCAAGAAATAATAACTATGTTCTCATACACAAAGAATTTTTGTATTTATATAAGATTGAGCTCAAAAGTGTTTTCCTCGCGGTAGTTATTCTCCTACTTTAATTGCGATACAACAATATAGGTGGAGGGTATGTGAAAAACTGTGACATTAAAATTTTGAAAGAAAATTTCCAGGCTGGAGATAAAAACAATTGTTTTTATCGCAAGCAAATCATTAAGACTTTCTCTATTCCTAAATAACTAATAAACGTAACCAAGTATGTGAGTTATATAAACTCACATACTTGGTTACGTTTATTAGTTATTTAGGAATAAAATAACTAATAAAAAATAACTAATAAACGTAACCAAGTATGTTACATTTATAAAACACATCAAACGATAACTATGAGGTGCCAAATAAACGTGCCTGCCTGTTTATTTGGGTTAAATGTTGTGGATATTTATACTAAAAACGCACAACTTTTTTACCAAGCCATTAAAACTTATTACGTTTTTATTGTTAAATTTAAACTTCTTTTACTAATTTTAAGGTTCCTTTAGTAGAAAGAACTTTAAAGTTTCCGAAAAAAAATTGTAATTAGATCTTTTTTAAGGGCAAGTATACTTCCCTCCCTTCCCAACTGACATTTCAAAGTCACGATCATAGTTTTATTATTTAAAAAAAATTATTTATTTATTATTATATTCAAAAATATCTAGTTATTTATTAAAAAAAATCTAGTTATAGTTAAGTATTTGTTGGTGGTGATAAGTTAGAAATACAAGCATTAACTAAGAAAAATTACTTTTTTTAATTAGTGCGTACGTACTTTTATATTTAACCCCTACCCCCCCCCCCCCTCATCCATACGCTTTTGTACGCTATTTGAAGACCATTTTTTACGCTGTTTTTTAAAAATAACAGCGTAAAAAATGTTTAAATTGTTAACTAAACTCGAATTAGAAAAATAATTTATTAATCATAAAATGTCTTTACCTTCTGTTTTTACTCGACCAATATGGGTAGAGCTATCTTAGATAATTCTGCGCATATTGGTTCAGTAAAATTTCGACATTGGTCAACTACTCAAGTGTACTAAGGCGGAAAGCCAGTTTTTTTTGTGAAAAAAAGAAAAACCGATAAATTTAGTTAAATCCGATTGGTTTTTGAGGTATAACTTAAGCGTACCGAAAATTTAAAAATGTAAGATTATGCAAACCATAATGTCTAGTTAAGGAGTCAGTCGAGAACTAAAATACTATTGAATATTTTGTTGCATTTATAATCAAAACCAAACTGATCAAAGGATTTCTCGAAATATTGAAGTACTTTATAACAACAATTTTAAATTAAATTGTATTTAACACAAGTTATACTTTAATTTTATGTTATTAAAATTTCATTTATTTGGAAACAGTTGCTTATTATTCTTATTGCAGAATCTGTGCATTTACTTATGAAGGTACATTAAATTTATATTATTATAAGCAAAAAGTCTATATATTTTTATAGTTACTTAAACCAAAAAGTTTGCTATAATTAATTTTCTATTAGTTATTTTGTAAAATCTTTTTTTACAATATTTCTTGAATGGTTAACTAACATCATTTAGTTGAAATTTTGATTATATCTTTGCTGAATAAAAAGTAATCGCGCTTAAAATAATAATGAAAATAAGCTAATTAAGTTATAACATTAAAAGTTCATTTTACTGGCAAACAAATAAACAAATAAACAAATAAACTCACAAATATAGTCAGATATTCTTTCTAAATGAGTTTGCCATGCCCATGGGTAATTTTTGATTATCCAGAAGGGAATATGTGATTTTTTTCTTTCAAAATGTAAGGCACCTTTACTTACTTGATGTTGATCTTCTTGATGATTGGAATATCCTTTATTAAGTAAATGACGACTTTGTAATCGAAAAAGGCTATTCACAGTAACATGATCATTATGGTGGTTTGTTGTGGATCTATTGATAGCTTTTAACTCATAAAAAGTGCGATCTTCTTCCTCTGTATTAGATGAGATGCCAGACACTATTCTTAACATTTGAGGACCATGAACAGATAATGTAAATATTTTCCATACAAAACTCGCATGGTAATTGATCTTGGTTTATCATATACTAGTTCTTTCAAATATATCAAATGAAGAAAACTTTGGTTATGAAGGAAACAAATAAGTTTTTTATAGACCTTGTTGATTCATTGGAATATAAAATGTTCTGTATATTAACCATTGTAGATAATAATTCAAATGCTAGTTGATCTATCTTACCGTTCAACACCATTATTAATTTTAACAAACTTTTTCTATAGTCGACTCCACGTTTGCACTCTTTGTTATCAAAAGACAAGGTAACCATATCTTTAAAATATTTTTTTTTCATCTTTATGGAGATGATTGCCTATATCATCATACAAATTTGATATATGGCCTTTTATATCATGTAATGGTAAAACTTCATATCTATCTAGATTTAAACCTTTCATTGATGTATTATTTTCTTGCTATAAAAGGGCTGGCAATCTTTGAATGCCATACATTTCTTCATCAAGTTTCATTTGTAAACTACTTTTATTTTCTTTACAATAAAAGTGCTTTTCTTTTTCATGTAATTCGGTAACAATTTCATACTTCTTTAAATTTTTATAAAGTTTGTTTCGATTTTGGCGTATTTTTTTCTTGCTGCAATTAGTGCTCAAGATTTTGTCAATTCGGTCTTGAACACTGAATACTATTTGAATAAATGAATGAGTTATATTTGCAGATTGGTGAATGTTTATTGGACACAACCAAAATGGATACTCACCCCCTTTTTGTTGAGCAATCTCTAATTGACAAGCTGGGGCATCACCATGAAAAAATCTCATCTCAATAAATCATAAAATGCCATCGACACTTTTGATTTTGTACTATAAAAAACAAAGTTTTATTATTGTAAAACAAAAAAAAGAGGGTTTTTATTTAATTTTTGAGCTCTGTCTCAATTTAAAAAACTTTGTCACAATGTATTGTATGGCTCAAAGCTCAACGGATATTCTGAAGCAAAATTTAGCCAAATACGAGCGCTAGTCTCTGTGAGCTGACACGTTTTGTAGTAAATATGGCCACTTTCTTGCACCTGTTCTATCTCGTAGATTACTTTTAAAATATTTATTTTAATTGCATCAAATAATTCATCAAAAAATCTTTCCAACAGTACCAAATATGTTGCATATTGTTTAATTTTTAAACAAAATATCAACTATAGCATAAGTACAGTTTTTGTTGAAAAAAACCTGGTTTCGCGGCTTAGTTCACTTGAGTAGTAGGTACACGAATTTCGCGTTTTACGGAACCAAAGAAAGTACTAAAATTCTGTGTCACGTTTTTTTAACTTTTTTTTAAGCAGCGCCATAGAAACATTTATTTCTATTTAGAAATGCACACCAGCTTTTTTATAATCATTTTTAAAAAATATAAAGGTGGAGCTTGATTTTAATGTGGTATTTATGTATGGTGGACACATTTTGACTTTATTGATGTTGGAAATTTAATTTCTGTTCTCTTGTCAAATTAATGTTGAAGGAATAATGAGATTTTTTCATAACTATTAGGATAATATTTTATATACATTATTTAAGCACCAGCCGAATATCAGCTCATGTAATTTACTTTAAAATACACTCTCATATAAAGATAAAATTTTACAACCAAATTTTCTGAGCTCAGCTGAGCGCAGTAGGTGCTATGTTTTTTTAGAATAAATGATATTCAATCATAGGTTTTGCTTTAAAAAATGAAGAAGACGAATATAGAACAGTTTTAATGAATTAAATCTAGTTAAAATCTTGTTAAAATTTAAATAGCACTTTTAATGTTGTTGTAAATGGTTCACATTTGAAAGAAAAAAAAAAAAAAACTTTACGTTTACTATAAAGGCTTGATGATAACACGGTGATTCAATACTTATTAAAGCTTGGAATGTTATAATGCGCATGCGTTAACAGCAAATTGATAAATATCATTTTTTTGATAAACCGTGTTAAGCTTTTATTATATCGTTGTTAATCAGATTGTTTTTTTTTTGCTTGTTTGTTTTACTTTGGTAATTATACCGAGTGAAAAGAAGCAAAACAAGTTATATTTAAACTTGATACGTGTAGTTTTTAATAGAATTCAAATTATTAAGCTCACATTACTGTGATTAATAAAGCTTTGTTATTAGCCAATTTAACACATTCAATTCAGTCATATTTTAGGAGAACTAAAATTTTTGTAACATTTTGGTATGTTGTTAGTAATAGTCATTCTTTTTATCTTTTCAAAAATAATTATCCTTTTTACCAGTCATTTTTTTATAAATTATTACAATTATTTTAAATAGGGTGTATTTTTCAAAAATATCTACGTAAGTTATGGCATGTAATCATCAAGAAAAATTATCAAGATTATGTAGAATTTGTGGAAATATATTAGGAAAAGACAGTTTAAAAACTGATTCTAAAATTGATCGAATATATAAAGTGTTTAGTATAAATATATCAGAAGATTCTCAATATATTCATCCAAAGAAAATGTGCATGAGATGTTATACTTATCTTAGAAACATCAAAAATAGAGGTAATAAAGTTTTTAAAACTTAAAAAAATTTGATTAAAATGTCTTTCAATTGAATGCAAATGTATTTTTGGCATTCTTGGTCGAAAACCAATATCCAATAGAGGACGACCAGAAAAGGTTAAAAAATGGACACAGTTTTATTTAAAATCATTTCTTGATTCATTACGTATGCCTAAAGATAGAAAAAATTTTCTAGAACTAAACCATATTCTAAATCCACATATAAATTTATGCATTTGTAAAATTTGTGGAGAAGTTATGAATCAGCCTGTGATGCTGAAAAATTGTCAACATTCGTTTTGTAGTTCATGCATTTTTTGATTTGATAATGTGATTCAAACTGTCCGTTATGTAAAACCAACATCACAATTGATAGCCTTACCTATTCCATCCATATATCTGAAATCTTAGATTATTTAACTATTGTTTGCAAGATTTGTAACAAAAATGTACTTTTAAAAGATATTAATTGTGAAAATCATGACTGCAAAAAATTATTAAACAACACTATAGATGAAAGCAAAAAAATAGTTAGTATAAATAATTTTTACCAAGTCACTGACTCAAGTGAAATCACACTAGAGGTTGAAGATGCTGTTTTACATGTCATTAAAAAAAAATTGAATCAGTCTAAAACATCCATAATAGAATTTTTATCTGGTGGACCTAGGGTAAGAAATAAGTTTTTATTTTATAATAAGTTAAATAGTATTAAAGCAACTATAAGAATTAGAATATTATTATTATAAGAATTAGATTATTATTCTAATTTTAGATAAACTTTTTTGTTCTTAAAAATTTTAGTATTGAATTTTTGTTTTATAAAGTCATGTTTTGGTAATTTTACAGCCACTTTGTTTTGTTTCTGCTCCAAAAGTTAATGTAGAAAGTGCACACTGTAAAAATAGGACTTTAAGTAAAAGGCAGAAACATTTAATGCAACAAGTTAATCATACTGCTGGTAGTTCACAGGAATCTAAAATTTGTCAAACATCTGTAATGTTAAAGTCATATGATAAAGATGAAGCAAATGAAATGTTAAAAAAAGCAAATATTGAAACTATGGATTTAAATGTAGAAGAAATGGTTGCTCTAAAAGCTGAAATGGGTATTCCATGGAATAAATTAAAAACTATGGCTAGGTAAAAGTAAAATGTAAAATTTATAATAGTTTATGTAGCCTAATATTTTTATTTGAAAATCTACTAATCTTTTAGTTTAATATAGTTACTCAAAATTACAAGTTATTTTTATAATTGTTCGTTATTAAATAAAGTTAAAGATTTACATTAAATATTTTATTTGTGAAACTAAATTTTTTATATGGAATGTAGTAGGTGTTTAAATTCCAAAAATATTACCACTGCTTCAAACAACAAACAAAGAGTTGTTGCAATAGAATGGTCTGGAAATGATATAGTTTTTTTAAATGGACCATTTACATTTCAAAATGAAAATAATCATGATGTTTTTGAAATTAAACTAGCTCCTTGGGCATATATCAAGAACCTACCTAACAATATAGAGAATCTACTGAATCTTCTTGAAAAGTAATAACTTAGTAATCTTATATAAGTAAATGTTTGTTTCTAAAAATTACTAAAAAATTTAATTATTAATTTACAGAAGTAGATAAGGAAACTTTAATTGATCTTCCTTCTATTTTATTTAAACATTTATAAACTTAAATGCAAATTTCAAATTTAAATTTATATATTTTAAGGTTTAACCTTCTTTATCATGATGGGATTAAAAAAGATGAAATACATATAAAAATTGGTGGTGATCATGGAGGCGGTTCTTTTAAAATGAGCTACCAAATTGTTAATCAAAATCAGCCTAACTCAAAATCAAATAGTTATGTGTTTAGTACTTTTGAAGCAAAAGACTATCGCACTAATCTGAAAGTTGGGCAATCTAGAGATACACAACAAGTTGATGAGATGCAAAAAATGAATTGGAAGTAAGATAAGTCACGACTTTTACTATTGAAATTTGTTCTGAAAAATAAGAAATAAGTTTTCTGAATGTTAAAATTAATTTGTGCCATTGTGCCAAAATTATAATATTACTTTGTAGTTAGTTATATGTAAAAGTTGTAATATTTTCATCCTGATTTGTTATAGAAATCACCATTTTTGTGTCTTTATGTTTGGATACTATGATTTTCTGTGCAGCGTATACAGAATCACTGGAGCTAAAGGTCAAATTTTTTTTTTTTAAATAAAGAAAGATTTTTCAAAAATTTAGGACTTTTAGAATAAGCAGTACAAAAAACTAGTTTTTTGTACTGCTTATTTAAAAATAAAGTTTTGTACTGCTTACTTTTTTACAGGTCGGCATTGCTGTCTCTTTTGTGGTATAACTAAGGAAGAGATGAAAATAATTCTAACAAATCGAATACGTATTGTTTCACAAGTGATAACTTTGAATCTTTCCAGAATTCTGGAGGAATTTTAAAGAGTGCAAAGCATTTCAATAATGTTATTGATCAATCTTTGTTTAACATTCCTTTGGATCAAGTAAATTAGTTCTGGTTTATTTTAATAATGCTGCTATATCAATAAAATGATCACAGTTGTTTTATTTATTTTTACAGATCGCTGTGCCTGCATTACATATATCACTCGATATCTATTTGAAATTTTTTGTTATGTTAAAAGATGAGCGTCATTTAGTTGATATAAAACTTGCTGGAGAACTTGCATTAAGAAATAAAATTATTGGTAAAACTGAATTTGAAATGTACATTACCATGCATGTCCAGTCAAATCTTTTAAATAGCATTATTGCAGATTGCCTAGAAAAAATTGCTCTTCTACAAGATACAGTTGGGATAAAAGTATTGCGTGAACCTGAAAGATATTTTGAAAATTTATAAGCCAAGAATACTTTACTATGAATTGAGAAAAAATGACAAGGTAATATTTAGCAAAAAATTATAAGTAATTATTAATTTTGTTCATAAATTTTGTTCATAAATTTGTTTATACCTCTTTTTTTAAGTCAAGTTAAAAATAATTTTTTTTTATCTAATAAAATATATTTACAAAGTATGAAAAATGTTTAGTTGATAGAATATTTTTGACATAATATATTTAACACTTTTTAGTCAAAAGAACTACAAAATTTACGTGAAAGTAATGAACTAGATAAAGTTTCATGACCATGCATTCAAAAACTCGATGAAGTATTGAAAGCAAATAAAGTTGAAAGGCAAGCATACCATGGAAAATGTTTTGTAGGAAACCATGTTCACAAAATGCTAAAAGTAAGTGGTTTATATATATATATATATATATATATATATATATATATATATATATATATATATATATATATATATATATATATATATATATATATATATATATATATATATATATATATATATATATATTTTTAGCATCAACCATTACTTGACTTATGCAATTCAATTCCTAAGGTAGTTGTAGACCTTGGCTTTATAGATACTGATGTTCACTTATTATCTATTGATGTGAGCCAAAAATTTAAAAAATTATTTTCTTATTATTCTAAGTGTCATAACATTATGAACAGCTCACATTCTTTTGAAGATTATGTTCAGGAACTTGGTAAAAAATTCACTTACTTCAATTTTATTCTTGCAGAAAGCAAGTGCATAACTATATTATTAAAACTGTTTAGTTGTTTTCACAATTTGATATTACTGAACATTATTTTTTCAGCATTATGTATTGTATATTAGAATTATCTTATCAATTTTTTAGAATTAGCAATCAAAAACCTGATGGAATTTTATAGATTGACATGGCCAGAAGCTACAATAACACCAAAAAAGCATTTACTTAAAAGCCACGTACCTCAGTTCATTGAAAAATGGACATTAGGAATAGGAGTTTATGGTGAACAAGGTGGTGAAAGTTTGAACGCCGAGTTCAACAATATGAATAGATTATTCAGGCATATGAGTTCAACAATCTGAATAGATTATTCTGGCATATGAAGGGATGTAGCCGGCTTGAAAGCACTATCAAAGAACATTTTCTAAGAAATCACCCTAAGGCGAAAGGTATGAAGCCAATCGTAAAAAAAAGGAAAAAGAATTTATAAACATTTTGCTAATTTTACCTATTATAATACTTGTTATATTTTAAAATATAAAAGATTAACACGAATCGACAAAACATGCCTCGCATTTTAAAATGTCTTTTTTGATTTCAGCCTTAAGCAATGTAAGTTTGTTAAAATCGTGCTTCTTATTATTAAAGTTATTTGAAATTTTTATTCAAAATGAAAACTTTATATATGATAAACCGGAATATATACACCCAACACTAGAATTTAGGGAATGCCAGAGTTGTTAATAAGGCAAAAGTAGCAAGGCCAAGACCAAGGCCACTTGTTACAAGGCCAAGGCCAAGACCAAAAGTTACAAGGACAAGGACAAGAATAAGACTTTCAAGGCCAACGCCTACGCAAAAATTTTTAAGGCCAATGACTTAAAATTTTGCCTTACGCAAATGAAGTAATTATGTAAAAACAAAGAATGATTAGTTACGTAATTAATTACGTAAAATAAAGAGTGAGAAGTTTTAATTCTTTAATTTTATGTATTTTATTATAAAGGCCAGGGCCTAAACAATCAAGGTCAAGGCCTAAAATTCAAGGCCAAGGCCAAAAGTTTCAAGGACAAGGCCTTAATTCTTGGCCTTAAGGCCAAGGATTAAGAACTCTGGAGAATGCTATTTATAACAACATCTCTAAATTCAAACGAATAATTAATAATGAAATATAAAATATATCTCTTCTTTTTAGCCTGACATTATACAAATTTTCTCGATTTAAAAAAATGACTGGATAAAATGAATAACGTATAAATTTTCCTTGCAATACCTAGATTAAAAATATATTTAACTTTTATCCCAAAAATTTTCAATTAAAAGTTATTTTATTATGATTAAGGCGATGCTTTATTTTTTCGCTTAAAAAGTGAATTATTTTTAACAGAAAATATTGTTTCTATACAACTGAAGGTTTCTTAATTTCTTTTTTTATTGTATAGCTTTTAAGATATATAACTTGAAAATTAATTTTATTTTTTTGTTTGCGAAGACTAAATACATATAAAAATACGAAATTACCAACTAAAATTAATAACCTTTACGGAAAAAGTGCCGCCATTTTTTATTTTTGTATTTAAAAACGCTAATTTAATGCGCATGCTCACAATAACATTCCACGCTTAAATCACCGTGACAAGACTACTGTCTTTTTTTATATATTTTTTTATTCTTATTTATTTTTCGTCATTTGACACATTTTACAATGATAACATTACATTCAAATAAATTTATACAATTACAAGCTGATTGGGGCAAGTAAAAGACAAAATGTCTTATCATCAAGCCACTTCGTGAAAATAGAAAAAATAAATCAAAATTTTACAACTTCCAATAATATATAAAAGAGTGAAATTAAAAAAAAATTTTAAAAACAAATTAAAAAGTTTTAAAAATATTTTTTAAGTTTGAAAAAACTTAAAAATTTGAAAATAATAAAAAATAAAAAAATTTAAAAGCTTTAAGAAAATAATTTACATATCGCTACATATGCGTATACACATCTAATAACTAATATACAAAAGATATTTTGAATTTAAAAAGATTCCGAACATTTTATAGATGTAAATTCATCTATTCATATTTTTTTAAAATAAAATTAAAACATACGAACAAAAAAAAAACAAGAAGGATATATATATATATATATATATATATATATATATATATATATATATATATATATATATATATATATATATATATATAATATGAATAGATGTAAATTCATCTATTCATATTTTTTTAAAACAAAATTAAAACATACAAACAAAAAAAAAAGAAGAAGAATGTATATATATATATATATATATATATATATATATATATATATATATATATATATATATATATATATATATATATATATACACATATATATATATATATATATATATATATATATATATATATATATAATATATATATATATATATCCTTCTTGTTTTTTTGTTTGTTTGTATGTTTTAATTTTGTTTAAAAAAAATATGAATAGATGAATTTACATCTATAAAATGTAAAATATAAAAAATATAATATAAAATATAATATATATTTAACAATATACAATTTAATAATATATATTTTAATAATAGATAATATAATTTTTTTTTTTTTTTTCACATTTTTGTCAAAAACCGAGTTCCACAAGCGTGGTTCCCGACATGTAATTAAGAAGTCTGATTTTTTGAGTGATGTTAGTAGGATGTAGTAATTATTTATTGAGTGTCTTTTATTTGTTTTATATTTATGAATAATAAGAGAGAAGTTTTTATAAAAATATTTTGGAATTAATTCGTTTTAAAGTTTAAACATAAATAACAAGTTATGGGAGATATTTAATTATTGTATATTATACATTATATGTATACATTTAGGGCATTTATTTACTTAAGTAACCGCTCCGCACTTTCATATCTATCAATGCCCAAAACTAATCGACTTGCTTGCTTTTGTTTGGTATAAATAGTTTTTAGGAAAGATGAGTGATTGTTTGCCCAGGCAATATTACGACAATTTATATGACTGTGTATAAACGAAAAATATAGATCGTTTTAAAATATTTTATTCAAAAGAGGTTTAGACTAATGCAATATCCCTAAAGTCTTTGAGACTTTGTTCTCGATTAGCTTTATTTGGCATTTCCAATTTAAATGTTCGTCCAAAATTATTCCAAGTATTTTCAATAAAAAAACTCTTTTTATTTTAATATTGTTAATAGTTAGTTCTGGTAGTGTAAGTGTAAGGTTCTCGGATTTAGATGGTTTAGCAAACAAAATACATATTGTTTTATCAATATTCAATGAAAGTTTATTTGCTATAAACCACTCATAGAGATATGTTAGTTCTGTGTTTACATTACAAAAATTATTTTTTAAATTTGAGTCAGAAAAGAAAACATAGGTGTCGTCAGCAAAAATAATAGAATTAAGTCTTTTTGATGACAAATTTATATCATTATTACAAATTAAAAACAGCAAAGGTCCAAGTATTGATTCTTTTGGAACTCCACAACTTATTGACTCAAATGGTGAGCATGTTAAATCAAATGGTATTACTTGTTTAGCATTTTTTAAATAAAATTGCAGCCACTTTAAGTAAGAGTGAGCTACTCCGTAATTACATAGTTTGTAGAAAAGAATCTTGTGGTTGACAGTATCAAAGGCTTTAGATAGATCCAGAAATATTCTGAGTGTGTAACTATTGCTTTCAAAATTTTCATTTACAATTTGGTTCGCAAAATCAATTACTGCATGCTCCGTGGAAAGGTTTTTGCGAAAACCAAACTGTTTATGATAAAGAGTGTTATTAGTTTCAAGATAAATGTACAGCCTGTTGTGCATAATACGTTCTAGTATTTTGGAAAAACAGGAAGGTATGGAAATTGGTCTGTACTTAGATTTTATCGAGTCATCGCCGCTTTTGAATATCGGAATTTTTTTTGCAGTTTTAGTTGGTCAGAAAAAATGCCGTTTCTTACGGAAAGATTAAAAAATATAAAAAGAGGTTTCTCAATAATATCAGAGACCGCTTTTAAAACATCGGGGTTAATTTCATTTAAACCCGCATTGTTATTTATTTTTAGCATACCATTGGTAGCCGAAGTTCTTTAACTAGAAGCTCCGACTCATCCGTTGTGGAATCTGATTTTTTCGAAAAAGATTTAAATAATTTACTCTCCTCAGGAATTGCACTGGCTAATTTTTTCCCTATATTTATAAAAAGTCATGAAATGTTTCTGCAATTTCTTTATTTACAAAAGCATATCCTATATTACCATCTCTTTGCAATCTTTTTGGAAAATTTCCAATTTTCACTTTTCCCATATTTCCCACGCCTGTTATTTCTTTAATTACATTCCATGTTTTCTTTGCATTTGCAATTGTTTTATTAAGCAATAAAGAATAGTAACTTTTTTTGGATTTCTTTTTTAACTTTTCGAATAAATTTTTATATTTTTTGTATTTTTTTTTTCATTCATTTTTCATTTTTGTAATTCTTTTTTTTTTTTAATTTTTGGTAAAGTTTTTATTTCTTTCTTGACGTCTTAAGGAGTCCTTTCGTCATCCACGGATTAAGCAAATTTTTAGAATTAATATTTCTTTTAACTTTTGGAAAAGCATTTTCGTATTGCTTAGTAAACACGCGAATAAAAAAAATCATACCCATTATTTACATCATTGCATCAGCCAATAGTTCCCAGTTAATTTCTTGTAAGAGGTCGCAATAATGGACGATTAATTCAATAATTATTTTTCTTACATAAACTGTTGTTTCTTTTTTTTTCTCAGGGGTTGCCAAATTTGTGATCAGAAAAACTGGAAAATGATCGGTCATATCTGTTTTAGTAATACCACTTTGCATTTTAGCCCTTGTGTAATTATTAGTAATAACACTATCGATAATGTATGCAGTTGTTTTAATCACGCGTGATGGCTTGTTAATCATGGGAAAAACGCTGGTATTGTGGTTTATCCTACTCCGGCTAATTGCTATATAGAGGCCACATTACCAATTACCACATTACCGCAAAGACAGGTTCGGCTTCCCTGCGAGCGTCATAACCCGCTCTACGGACCAAGAGTAAGGTGAGTTTAAGAAGAACGAAGATATGTTAGAGTAAAAGACAGAATTAGTTGATTTAGAAAGATAGCATAGAGAAAGCGGACAGAATTGCACCCGATGTTACAAGGTGCTATAACTTACTGTTAGTTAGGTTAACCTAAGTAAAGTACGCCGACAAAGTTGTGATTGGAGTTCACTTAACATGAACTCTTCCTCAGCTTTCTCGGTCTGCTTTCTTTCATGGGAAAAA